GAGAAAATAATGGTACCCACATCAGATAGTTGTCATCATGAGTAAATAAGGTAAAAGTACTAAGCAAGCATAGTACATAATAAATATAAAAATAATGGTACATATTTACTGTTACTTTATTAGTCAAGGGTAGTTTTGTTTCATGTTTTTTTAAGGACCTGGATGTTCTTTGTTAATTTTAACCTAGTGAATCCAAATAAATAGCTTTGAACCCTCTTGGGGCTTGTTAGACCTGTTCAGACATTTTTGCAGGATTTCTTTGCCTAGGAAGCCGTAAGAGCATGTAATTAAAATCATCTGTACAAGCAAAATGACCTTATATTTTTAATACTTCAAAAATTTTATTTACAAATAAATTCACAGAACTTTTGGCCACTGTTACATGGATCAATTGTTGACTTTTCCCCATTAGTCCTGACAAGAATTTCATACCATTTTCTGGTGCTGCCCCATATAAGCCCCAAATTAGCCATTTTTATAGTTACTGCCTGTGTATCCAGGGGAAGCTGAGGATAAATTCTCTCTCTAGAGGAACATTGTATACTAGAGCTAACTGGATTGTAATGTAATGACAATATGACAATGTCCAAAGAAAGTCATCCTTTGAAGGATGCTTAAGATCACAGGATTGAAGAGGATGCGTTACGCTGGTAGAAGGTACTTTCTTAGGGAGGTAACAGATTCGCTCTGTATCTTTTGGATCATGAGTCTGTTCCCTATCTGTGGTAGTGAGACACATTTTTATTATTCAGTTTGTTTAACAAAGATTTAGTGAGTGTTTTTTACTGTGTGCCAGACCCCATGCTATATCAGGGATTCAGTAGTGACCAAGAAGCAGATAGAAGTCTCTCCTTTAATGAAGGGGAGGGAGCAGAAATTAATCAAATAATCCCTCTTTGAATGAAAAATTATAACTGTGATGAATGTTATGAAGGAAGGGTTTGAGTAAGTGACGATAAGAAAGCGTAGAGCTGGGGCTTCCCTGGTGGCGCAGTGGTTGAGAGTGTGCCTGCCGATGCAGGGGACACGGGTTCGTGCCCCAGTCCAGGAAGATCCCACACGCCGCAGAGCGGCTGGGCCCGTGAGCCATGGCCTCTAAGCCTGCGCATCCGGAGCCTGTGCTCCGCAACGGGAGAGGCCACAACAGTGAGAGGCCCGCATACCGCAAAAAAAAAAAAAGCGCAGAGCTGGAGGACTTTTACTTAGCCTGGGAGGGGAGCAAAGGCTAAGGAAGTCTTCCCTGAGGGAGAGCTGTTTGAGATCTGAAGGATGAGTTGATGTATCAGCCAGGGTTCCTGCAGGAGAGGCAAGGCACACTCGACAAGGTGTTTTAGAAGAGTTCAATAACAGGACCATTTACAATGATGTGGGCAGAGTACAGGGAACCAACACGGTACGGTGAAGCGCCCTGGCACTACCAAGAGTGGGGACCTGTTATCACCCCTTGACCTAAAGGGGGAGGGGGAAGGGGAGGTTACTGGAAACCTGAGAGAATAGTCATAACTCTAAGAGATGGAAGCCCGGCAAGGGCTGTGGCCTTTGGTAGAGGGGACACAGCCAGTCCATGGAGACCCGGGCGGGAGGAAGCCAGGAGAATAAGTCTTCTGACCGCACTGTCCTCACTCCCTCTGACCTCCTGTTGTCTTTTCTCTTGGGCGATCCCGGCCAGAGGCCAATAGCGTGGAGCCATCAGAAATGTATAGAGTGTGGTGTGGTCAGATTTACATCTCTTCACAGTCCACCCTTTCCTCCCATCTTTTGCTGCACAGAAGGATGGCCATGGTGCTACAGACAGCCGAGCGCTGGGTACTCATCCAGCTCTGCCCTTTACCAGTAGCGTTACCTTGGGCTGGAAACAGTCTCTCCAAGCCTGTTTCCTTCTCAGTACAATGGGGACATAACTATGTACTCTCCATCCCAGCGGGGCATGAGGATCAAATAGATAGTGTCTGGGGAACGTCCTTTGGAGACTGGAAACTGCTTTACACGTGGAAGAGGATTTTATTACTCTCTTTTTGCCTCTGTCTGAGGTGAGATACTTTTCCTTAGGATAAGAAAGTATAACTTAATGTCTGCCAAGGTCCTCAAACATACCCAGTTCTGTGATGGCCTACCAATGGTAGAATAAAGCATGGGCTCAATATAATCTTCTGTGAGGACAAGAAAACGTGATTAGAGGCAGCTCCAAGGCTTCCTGAGGTGCCAGATAAGACGGTGTAACATAATTATGTCCTGTCTTCTCCTAGTCTGGGAAACCCCAGCTGGAAAGGGCTGAAAGAGTGTATTTCCATTAGAGCCTAAATACTTGCTTGGACTTGTTTGTTTTTCACCAGAGAATGAATTCTCAGCCTTCCTCAGCTTTGTTTCCAACGTTTCATGGCTTACATAGACAGGGCAAAATGTCCCTCCCTCTCCTCTCCCTCTCCTACAGGCCCCAGACTGAAAATTCACTTGTTAACTTTTTAAATATACACACAAGTGGGAAACAGATGGCATTATCTGGGTAATGCTAGCAAAAGATCAGATTCTTTTTCAAGGGCTATGCTCTGTTTTGAAATAGCCAAATGAATAAGGTTGTTTTGGCTTGAAATTCGTTATTGAAATAAGGTATTTGGACAACAGTTTATAATTTTTTGGCTCTTCTCTAGGTAGGGTCTGGGCCTGTCAATGCATCTTCCTACCAAAAGGCCTAATTTGGCAAAAAGCTGAACCGTATCAGCCTCCCTCCCATCTCTGAATTTTTCTCTCTCTCCCTGTTCCCACTGTCTGCTGTCTCTCTCCCAGTGGTAAAATGTTTCTTTGGTTTTTAGTCTGCAGGATCAAGAGAAGTGAAAAACACTGCTCTAAGATGTGCTTCATGACACCCTAATAAAAGAGACAAAGTGTTCCCTTCACACATTTCTAGGACGACTGTCACCAGAGCAAGCAGGTGCAATTTCTATTGTATCTTAATTTTGTATCCATGTTTTGGACTAAGCATAGTATCTAAGGTATTATATTTTAAAATTTACTTATTTATTTATTTATTTTTGGCTGCATTGGGTCTTCGTTGCTCTGCACGGGCTTTCTCCAGTTGTGGCGAGCGGGGACTTCTCATTGCGGGGGCTTCTCTTGTTGTGGAGCACAGGCTCTAGGCGTGTGGGCTTCAGTAGTTGTGGCACGCGAGCTCAGCAGTTGTGGCTCGCTAGCTCTAGAGCACAGGCTCAATAGTTGTGACACACGGGCTCAGCCGCTCTGCGGAATGTGGGATCCTCCCGGACCAGGACTCGAACTCATGTCCCCTGCATTGGCAGGCGGATTCTTAACCACTGCGCCACTAGGGAAGTCCTATTATATTTTTCATTGAAGAACGCTCTGGTAACGTTCTTCTGGATATGGTGCATCTTTTTAGGGGGCCATGGATTGCACTCTCCAACCTACAGCCTCCTCTCTCTAGACAGCTGTCATGGGTCTTCTTGCAATAAACCCAGGACCATGTGAAGATGAAGTATTTCCTAGGGAGGATGAGGAGAAGTGAATGGTGGTATTTCTAAAAGTATAGACAGCCTGACAGCAAATTCCAGAGACTGGGTGACATTTTAAATTAGTAATGCTCCTAATTATCCAAATCCTAGGAGACCACATGGAATACAGCCACAGCTCTAGGATTAATATAAGTGAGCACCGTGAACCCATTACTAACAGCATGTTCTCTTAGAATAATGGCACCGTATCTGTGTCAGCACAGTGTGACACTGCAATTAAAACACAGTTACGCACATGCACAACCTCTGATATTTCCTGTTTTTTGGAAAAATTTTCCTACTATCAGAGTAAAAAGAAAAAAACTATTATAAATTTTCCTGAAAAAAGTAATACTTTGTTTCCTCGTCATTCATTGCCTGTTGGTATTGCTGGGTTAAAATATCAGATTTATAAAAGTGAAATTAAATAATCAACATGTGATTTTATAGAACATGAGCTTGGAAGGCAGAAGTGCCCAGATTCAACTCCTGGCTCCCCTACTTACTGCTAGGTGAACTTGGGCTCATTCAGTGTCTCTGATTTTCAGTTTGTCATCTCACAAGTGGCCATCATAATGCTATCTATTCGTACATTTATTGTGAGGATTTAGAGCCAAGTGAAATGCCTTGCTCAAAGCTAGTGCTAAAAGATGCTAAGAATAAAAGTCACTGATGAGACAGAAATACAGGAGCCTGAGATTTCAGTGATCAGACTGAGCTGCAGACCTCAGCTTCAGCTGTGCATGGGGCCAGGGCCCCAATCCATACTGTCCTTCTCTTCCTCGCAGCATGCAGGTCCAAATGTTGGTTGGTCCCTTTGTGCCAGTGAATGGTGGTCTTTCTGATTGAAGTCCTAGGTCTGAACACAGAGAATAGAAGTTTCTGTAAATTCTATGTGTCCACTGTCTTAATACCCTCCTACCCTCCATGTAAACCTCCCCAACTTTTTGGAGGGGGCCTAAAAAAAAAAGCACATATCTCACTTTTGGATTTTTAAAGACTGTCTTCAATTTTTCCTGAATATATATACACACACATATACATATACATATAATATGCATATACATATGTATATATGTATATAATGCTAAACATTATTTGAGACAGTTCTCATTTTGTTCACGCTGACAGGTAGGGTAAGCAAATTCATTCATGACCCACTACTTTTCTTGGCCCTAAACATCCTAAAAGTAAACCATGTTACAAAGAAACTGTAGTAATAATAACAATCATTTGAAAAACACCAATTATACACTAAGTGCTTTGTATACACTTCATACTAATCCCCACAGTAAACCTTAAAAGGTGGGTATTATTAACCCCATTTAACATAGGAGAAAAAGAAGTCTCACAGAGATTCATAACTTGGCCAAGGTAAGACCACTTGTAAAAATCAAAGCTAGTACTTTGATCACAGTGCTCAAAGTTGGCATGATGCCAACAGCTAAGCTCCGGTTTGCGTTTTCACCCCTTTTTTGTCTTTTCCTTTCCTTCCAGGTTGTTCTGGATGTTGGCTGTGGATCAGGAATACTGTCATTTTTTGCTGTACAGGCCGGAGCTCGGAGAGTCTATGCAGTTGAGGCCAGTTCAGTAGCACAGTATGCTGAGGTAAGTGGTTGTATTTTTACAGCAATTACTAACTAGGTCTTCAGTAAACTTCAGGAGACTAAGTGATGGACCTTTCACGTAGGTCATTTTAGAAGAATTTTTGTTTTACCAGTCTGATTTTTTTTTCCTGTTGGGATGTTACTCCTGAAAGAGCCCGCCTTCACTGTAGTGATGGATATGAAAACAATTATTTTAAAAATTTCTTCACGATACTAAAATTATAACAGAACTTTCTTGGGCCTGGGGGAGATGAATGCTGTCTTATCTTTAATGACCTACTGAGGTGAGGAGTCAGACATCCCTGGAGCTAGGTTTATTTTTTTTCTTACATGCTGTACTGACAATAACTGCACCACTCACTTTAAATTTCAATTTTGGTTTAAGGGACTGTTGCTACATGATTGTAGTTGGAGCATGGGCAGATGTCTGTGCTTCTTTTTCAGATTTCAGGTTCTGATTAGAGGACAGGGAGATGCTTTGTTTTAAATATGGTACTCCATTATCCTTATAAAATGTGTACACATATTGGAGAATAAGTCAAGAGTCAAGTAATAATAGCTTTCAGTAATATTTGGATCTAATAACAACCCAGTCGAGCTGCAGAGCTGGATGTGTGTGTGCACGCACATGCACAGGGTCATGTGCTTGTCATCCACACCTGGAGGAGGCCTGCATGTAAATGAGGGACAGAATGGCAGATCGAGAGGGAAGCCTGGCTGCTGCTCTGAGGAGCATCCTGAAACTTTCCTCCGACCTGGGACAAGTGCTAGCACTGAGTGATGGTTGGGTTTGGATTGAATGACCCAGAAGGGGCCAGAGGCCAGTAGACAGTATGGCATGTTCGGAAGGAAAGACTGCCAGGGCCTGATGGCTGGCATGTTCTTACACTCTCTTCTTCCAACAAGTCTTGGATAAAATATTTTTGGTCATTTGCTTACGTACCAATTCTTAAGAGTCATTTTTATTAACTATTAGGTGCACACAAAAGAATATTTGTAAAATGTGTACATTTTAATATTTGAAAAATGTGTACATTTGTAAAATGTGTCAAGAATAACAATACAATGAATGTGTGTCCACTACGTCTTTTTTTTTGGCCACGCCACGTGGCTTGCGGGAGCTTAGTTCCCTCACCAGGGATCAAACCCATGTCCCCTGCAGTGGAAATGTTGAGTCTTAACCACTGGACAGCCAGGGAAGTCCCAACTATGTCTTTTAAGAGATAGGCCATTAGCATTTCCATTAAAGGTTCATGTGTCTTGTCTTGATCGTGTCTCTTTTCTGCCCTAAATAGAGGTAACCACTATCTTGAAATTTTGTTAATCACATTCTCACTGTTCTTTATAGTTTTACCGCATATGTTTCTGTCCCTAGAAACATATCCTTTATGAACTTTCCATAAATGGAATCGTAATGTATGTATCCTGTAATTTGCTTTTTTCACCCAGCATGATGCTCCTGAGGGTCATTTTGTTGATGCATACAGCCCTTGTTTATTCCTCTTCAAGTGCTGGATAGTGTTCTATTATATGAAACGCGCAGTGCACTGAGCTGTTGACGGACTTTTGATGGCTTCCATTATAAAAGTATTTTTATGAATATTCTTATACACACTCCCCACTGCATCTGTGCTGGAGTTTCTCAGTATATACCCAAGAGTAGAATTGTTGGGTAATAGGGCATGTATACCTTCACCTCTGTTCTGTGATGCCAAATTGTTTTCCAGAGTGGTTCCAATTTTTACTCCCTGCAGCAGTTAATGAGAGTGCCATTGTTCTCCAACTTTGGCAACACTTGATATTGTCAGGCTTTGGAATTCTTGCCAATCTGGTGTTTATTACATAATTGTGGTTTTAATTTGTATTTTCTACTCACTAATGATTTTGAGTATCTTTGCACAGTGTTTGGCCATTTGTACTTTCTCTTCTGTGAAATACCTGTTCCAATTTTTTTGACAGTTTTTCTTTTGACTAATTCATTTGTAGAAATGATTTCTATATTCTGGATATTAATTCTATTCAGTTATACATGTGAAAAATGTCTTCACCCAGTTTTGTACCTCACTTTTTCTCTTTATGGAGTTCTAAATAAGATTTAAATGTGGAATTCTAAATAAGAAAAGAGGAAGGGCTTCCCTGGTGGCACAGTTGTTGAGAGTCCGCCTGCCGATGCAGGGGACACGGGTTCGTGCTCCGGTCCGGGAAGATCCCACATGCCGCGGAGCGGCTGGGCCCGTGAGTCATGGCCGCTGAGCCTGTGCGTCTGGAGCCTGTGCTCCGCAGCGGGAGAGGCCACAACAGTGAGAGGCCCGTGTACCGCAAAAAAAAAAAAAAAAAAAAAGAATGCATTCAGGGCCAGGGATGGTTAGAATCTTCTCAAAGCATGGCTTTAAGGACAGCCTGGTCCCTCCTGATGGAAACCATGGCTTCTGCCGCGCTCCTGGCTGTTGCCATGGGTGTCATGAGATGTCCCCCCGTGGGCCAGGCCTTTCACCCTTGCAGAGGATGATCTGCACCAGCTCTTGGTTTCTGCTTCTTCTGCTGACACTCGTCTGTACAATTTGTGGGTGGCAAAGGAGAGTGTAAGCAGCACACGAAAGATTTTCACTCCAAGAATAGGCCTCAGTAGCCTCTCGGCACACAGTACATGGTGCTACTTTCCACCTTTTCATTAGTTGGTAATTGAACCAGCAGACATTTAATTCTTTTCTCTGGAGTCTTCATTAAATTGCTCAGAAAATATCAAATTGTAACAAGAAAGAAAAATGTATAAATTTAACTACCATTTCCTGTCCGTGGATTCTTCTCATGAAAGGCTTCTGGACTTTAAGTAAACAACGTTTTCAGCTTGCATAGAATTCAGTTTCAGTCGCATTCGGTGGCTCAAACTGATTTTGTAAGGGCTGACCTCAGATGACTAGATGATGCGAATGACTCCTTGTCTGCAGGGCATGCACATTTAGTCATTTTCTGCAGGATGGTCATGAACCTGCCCAGGTACAGCCATATGCTTTCACCCTGGGCCACATCTGACATTTCTGGGTTAGTGACAAGAGATCATTCTTGTTCAAGTAACAGGGCAGAACTAAAGATCTCCCGTGGGTTCCCAACCCATGAGCCTGCCCACCTCTAAAGGGCAGCTATCTCTTGCTCTTTTTTTCTTTTCTTATTATGAAACATAAAGCTGAAGCCCTCAGATCATATAGACCAAATGGGGAAAAAAGGCATTAATCCAATCTATACATATATATATATATATAAAATATATATATATATATATATATATAGTCAAGGGGAGGCTGTTTCTTAACTTAAAATTGTGCACGAATGCATGTCACGTGTCTCCATATAGATGATAAATTCCTTGAAGGGCCAGGAGATTAAAAGACTATGAGGGTAAGCAATCATGAATAGATTTATGTGTTGTAGTCAATTTAAACTTACAACAAAGCTCTCTGGCTCTTAGATTTAACAATGTTCATAATAATTATTGGGCCACTTAACAATTAGACTTTACTAGCACACAGTTCCTATATATGCTTCATTAGGAAGACTTTTAAGGAGTCAGACCAAGTATTTCTACGTCATGGGTGGTGGAAGTAAAGGCAGGTGGCATTGGAGCTATTGTGACGCTGCCTTTCTAGACCTGCTGGATTCATAATCTAGGGCTGCTCTGTCCAGTATGGTAGCCACTAGACGTGTGGCTCTTTACACGTAAATATAAACTAATTTTTAAAATATCTTTATTGTAATATAATTGCTTTACAATGTTGTGTTACTTTCTGCTCTACAACAAAGTGAATCAGCTATATGTATACACATATTCCCATATCTCCTCCCTCTTGTGTCTCCCTCCCACACTCCCTATCCCACCCCTCTAGGTGGACACAAAGCACCGAGCTGATCTCCCTGTGCTGTGCGGCTGCTTCCCACTAGCTATCTGTTTTACATTTGGTAGTGTATGTATGTCAATGCTACTCTCTTACTTCGTCCAAATTAAATTTCTTAGTCGCACGAGCTGCCTTTCAAGTGCTCAGTAGACACAAGTAGCTAGTGGCTGTCATATTGAACAGTGAAAATACAGAATATGTCCCTCATCAAAGAAAGTTCTAGTGGGTAGCACTGATGAAGAGGACACAGGTGGCCATACATCACTTTTCTGGCATGTGATGGCCAGGCTGGTGGCTGTGTTCCCTGCCAGGTATTGGCAGCCATGGCTAGGTCAGACTGGTTCGATGTTAGGTGAGGCAGCCCTCCCCAATCCCTCTTGCTCTGGGCATTGTTTATCTTTCCCTTATTTATGTGTAAGATCTGGCATAGAACAGGTTCCCTAGGAAACAGACTCTAATGCACATATTTGCATGCAGGAAGTTGATTGCAGAAGGCTCTCAGGAACCTGACCTATGAAGGAAATAAGATAGAATTGGGTAGAGGGGTTAAGCTGAAAGGTAGTTGGAATAAAGGGCTCAGGCAATCCCACAGGGAATTCTTGAGCTGGGGAAACCCATCAGAGTTGAACCACCTGAGGCAAGGGCCTTTATATTTCACATTTTTAAGTATACACTTCCTCAGGAAGGAGTGTGACTTTGGGTAAGGTGGCTCTCTTGGGCCGAGGGAAGTTCGTAGACCAAAATTCAGCTGAGAGGCATCATCTGCCGGCATTTTCAGCAGCTGGGAGAATGCTGCCTTGGTCCTGAAGGATCTTTACGGTACGCCACAGCAAGCACTACAAAATCAAGATGCAGGATCCTAGCTTTGATCTGTAGACAGGAAGCTGATGGAGAATAAAGATCTAATAGTAAATCAAGGAAGAGGGTTGAATTGGTGGAGCAAGTGGGATGATACTGAAAGCACAGGCAAGACCACAGGGTAAATTTGTTACGTGTGCTTTAGGGGTGGGCAACACTGTTCTAGAAACTCAGTCCATCATCTGATCTGATGTGCTTTGTACTATTCTAAGGTCTGTGAGGACACAGAATACATATAAGATGTGATTTCTCT